CTGGATAGACAGCTCCCTGGGAGGTATGCGCTAGTTGAACACGAGTCGACCCATGGCGGCGAAGATAAATATAGTTGAAGATTGTATAGCATGGTTTTGTATAGAAAGAAATAGCAGATATCATAGTCTCTCTCTCTCTCTGTATATATATATATATATACATAGTATATATAGTATACATAGTATATACAGTATTTCTAGTGTAAAGCACAACATACCATAGAAACGAACATATGGTACTACAGAATAGTTATACCGTATAAAACAATTTACGATCTAAAGCCACCGTCCCTTGATCGAGACTCCAAAGCGCAAAGCACAAAACCTTCACCAAGGCATGACAAGGCAGACATCCCGGAAGGCTGAACCAAAACTTCCATCTCAAACCCCTCAGGTCTAAACCCTAAACCTCGGACCTTCTTTGCCTTGCCATGCCTGCCTTGTGCGAGTGTGTGTGTGTCGAAACCGTAAACCCCCTAAACCGAGGAATGACAATCCAGACATGCACGATCCCGAGAAAGAGTCCGGGGTCAGAAATGACAATCCAAACTCAACGGAGCGGCTGAAGCAAGCTGTCGCTGCACCTTGCCTTGACTTGTTTAGGGTTTAGGGTTTTAGGGACTTGTCTGGATGTGGCTAGTTCTCTAAATCAGGGTCCCTGCTTGGGTCCCCCAAACAGTATTGCACCCTTATGTTCAGGACCCTACAAAGGGACCCGAGTTTAGGGACTACCCATGTACCAGGGTCCATCCATATAGAGCTCCAAGTGTCCATCGTGAGCGATGCGCTTCGTGGCACTCGAGCTTTAGATTGCTAGTTTGAGGGCTTTCGGGTGCTGCGTTTTTAGGAGAATAATCCCTAAACCCTAAACCCTAAACCCTAAACCCTAAACCTTAAACCTTAAACCCTAAACAATAAGTTTTCCCGAGGAACCTCAGGGCCTCAGGGAGTTGGGTGAACTGGTGCAGTGAATGCAGCTTTGATCGGTATGAGCACCTACCTTGACTTCGCCAGGGGTACATAACCCAGAGGGTCCATATACGCTACCATTATGGAATTAGGTCCCAAAAGACCATGCCTATTATGGTTTGGGGAACCTAATTCCATAATAGTAGTATATATGGACCCTCTGGGTAAGCGCGTTTGGACGACCACTTGCCATATAAAATAAAACGCGATAGCATAGAAGGCAGAAGGGTCAGAGTGTCAGGGTAAGAAGCATGGTAGTAGCTTTGGGTTCTAACGGCTATAACGTTCAGGGCTTACGGTTTGTGGCATAGGTGACTCACCTGCGATTCAACTGGGCGTTTGCACATCAAGCCCATTCTTGCGAACCCACGAAGATAGCAAATTCAATATGTTACTAGACTTTCATCTCCACCAGAATAGGGTTTCGGGCGGGACCTCGGATGATAAGGCCCTGAAAAGCTCAATCAGCATCGTGCTGACCGATGTCAACGAGCTGCAGGGAGTGACCCAGCTGAAATCACCAATGGGTTTGGGAGTGCTTTGTCTTCGCCGTAGAGGGCCTGATGACCTAAAGTAGAAGCCGGAATGACTGCAAGCTGTCATAATTAGACAATGTTAGAATTTTGTGTCTTCTTCTTCAGGATTTCTTAGTCTAGTTTAGTATATTAGATCGCCAAACCATATTTCACATATTAAGGCCCCCCCCCCCCCCCATAAACAGCTGCAAAGCTGTTCTGGATTCAGACTACTAATATATGCCCGGCGGACTTCCCCAGCCCAGATTCAGAAATCGATCCCCAATTCTATAGCCGAAATTCTTCAGCACAAACCCTCCCACCGCTGCGGCTTTGGTGTACCAATCCTTGACTACACAACTAATACATGAAGCTTCAAACGGCTGACGGAATGCCCCTGGTGCCGTTTGTGTGCGCTCCCTATGGGCCTGAACCACACCAGCAAAACCACCCTTACACCCGAAACACCCTAGGCAATAACCGCAAACCAATCTCTTCACGCTGGAACCCCCTGAAATGTACACACGAAACAGTCCCCCAAGGCCTAAACCACAACAGAACAAGCAAGTACACTGAGTACACCTTACACCAAAGCCCCACAGTAAACAAATGAGGCACATTTCTTCTTGAACAGGCAGGGGCACTTACAACCCTTACTCCTCAACTTCAAATTTAAGACAAATGGGAGTCTCCCAAAAATTAGGTACCTTATTTTGGGGTCCTGACAATAAGGATCCTACTATTTGGGGTACTATATTAGGGTCCCTTATTTTATACAAGAATCGAAAGATCGCCACAGGATGCGGGTCAGACACAAGGAGGCACAAGCGCGCCCTCCGGGCAGCCCCGCCCGGATCTCGGAGTCTTCGAGGGTGGTTCTCTCGTTCTTATTTTGAAGAGGGGCGTAGGGTTTAGGGTTTAGGGTGTGGTAGAGATTTTTATAGGCCTTAGGCTGTTTCTTAAGGGTTTCGGATTTTGAATTGTATAGGGTTAGGGCTTCAGTGGTTTAGGCTAGGGGGGCTTTATGGCTTCGTCGGACGATGAAGCCATGAAGCTATGATGAGGGCTGTCGGATTTGAGGGATCACGTTTGGTTCCTGGGGCTTTCCTCGCTGAATACGCTGAGTGTCCCTGTTAAGCTTTTCGTGTTGAAAACGCTCCAGACAATATGTGCGGCCCGATGTAACGCCACCGCATCTTCGCCCTGTAGCACGGCTTTGCAAGAAGTGTAAATGAGCCATGTCCGTTAGGGGCTTCGGCCCGAGGCCCTCAACCGCTGAATCGTTTAGGAGGGTTGAGGCTCGTAAGTTCTCATATAAGCCTCGTAGTAACCTTGAAAAGGATTTAAAAGGCCTTATAGCAACCCTTCTTATGGTTCTGCCTTTGTAGTAACTCCATGCAGGAACCACCACCACAACGATCAAGCACCCAGGCATCCGACATTCCGTGACAGTGAGCGCCAGCTCCGAGCAAGATACGTCGGCAGTCGCTGGGCTACATGCTGCCTCCTCTGGTTTAGGGTTGCATAGGGTTTAGAGTTTATAGGCTCCCTCTGACCGGTGAACCTCAAAGCTGGCACATTGCTGGGTTATGCTAAAATATGTAGTGTGGCTTGTTCGATTCCGAGATTTCGTGGCGACTGAAATCATATTTTACTCCTTGCTGCCGCAGCGGCTTCGGATCCGGATGAACTTTGGGAGCAGTGCAGCACAAGTTGCTGCAGGTGAGCGTCAAGACTAGCAGCATTGCAGGAGTTGCTATCCGAGATTTCTTGGGGAAGTCTGCGCAATACTTCATGGCACAGCATTGAATTTACCAGCCGCGCATGCTGGCAACAGAATGCGATTTATAACCACCCATGCAAAGTACGCGCCGCGCAGGGCCCTAAGGATAATTGCGGTGGCTTGGTGGCGTTGGAAGTCTATGCCAACTCTTGTTTTTGTTTGCACATACCGGTCACCTTCTGGTTAACTGTGATCGGCACAAGAGGCCCTGTAAATGATTTCTCGGTTCCCAAACCTCAGCCTAAAGCCTTCCCTCCCAAACTCCTGTCCTACCGCTTTAGGGTTTTGGCTGTTTTTACCTACGGCTCTTCAAACCTAAGCCCCTCACTCCAGGCCAATGGGAACGTTTGTTCCCCCAGCAAAGTGCCGAAGATCCCGAAGCCGGGACCTTCAGCGTGCCTTGGCGAGTCAGGTTTTGAGGGTTTGAAATAGGGGCCTTAATAATTAGAATGGGGTTTGAGGTATAAGGCCGTAGAGTGGGGCATTAGGCAAAAAGTCTACGGAGTGAGGTCGTTGGGTTGAGGGTCTGGGGCATATCACTCGTCGGTTTATGGTTGGGGTTTGGGGTGTAGTATGAGGTTTTGCGTGCGCTGAGTCGAAAGACGGCAGCTGGTGGGCAGCTCGACGGTTTTTTGATAGCTGGTCGTACAGGGTCTTGCTGGGTTTTGCGGAGGTTGTTAGTTTCGGATTCGGATATCTCATGGGACCCTGACATGACCCTGCAGAGTATTATCCTGGCTATACGGACCCTTGCATAAGGCACCACTGAACTCATAAATCCCGCATGCACAACAACCCTTGCCAAAGCCATGTAAAGCCCTTCTTTGACACCTTATAAGTTCAAAGCCTATAGCACCTCATCAAGCGCTTAAGCCCTAAAGCCTAAACCGAGTGTGAGAGCCGAAAACCTAAACCCGGAGCCCCTAAAGCAGAAGCCCTAACGCCAAACCCTAAGCCCCAAACCCCAAAACCAAAACCTTTTAATCCCTAAACCCAATGCATAGAGCACACAGAGTTTCCCTTGAAGCCCCCTTTAAACCCCCCTTGAAGCCCCCTGAACTTTCTGCGATCGAAGGACCTCACTGGGCAGGACGAGCGTATACTCCGAAGCCGTAAGTGCCGAAGATAGCAACATTGCGGCCACTCAGCTGGTTTGGGTTTAGGGTTTAGTGTGTAGGGTATAGTAGTAGGGTCTTGCGGCATAGGGGTTTAAGGTTATGGTTCAGGGCATTAGGGAATTGAGGAGCAGCCTTGGCAGCATGAACGCAACTTCTTACGCGCAAAGTCTGTTATGATTATTCGAGTCTGCTGCTGTTCTGCTCAGGTAGGGTTAGATTTTGGGCTCCGGTGCCCCGGGCACGTTGAGTGAGCTGTGTCAGCTACGCCGCAGCACTTTTGGAGCTTCGAGTCGAATCGCCTACACATTTTCTGAATCTCCACCGGGTTCAGGGTTTAGGGTTTAGGGTTTAGGTCTCCACCCCCACCGACTCTTGTTTTCGCACAAGATGGATGCCAGAGTTCGCTGACAGGTCAGATACTGGAAACATTCATAGATGTCGGGTGATTCCTTGCTTAAAGCCTCGTGCAAGAACGTATTGCCTGTGCCAATTAAAGCCCCAGCAATTCTGTAATCATGTATAGTGAAGCCCCAGGAATTGAAACATGTTGACAACGGCAAGGCCTGAAATTCTGCACGCCTTCCTCTTGGACCCACGGCCCCCGCCAATGCCAAGGCTCACCCAAGTGCGATCGCTCACAGAGCGCCGTCGTGCTGCCATCGGATAGTGATATATCCTGCTTGGACAAGCACCTCCGGCCAGCATCAGCAAAGGTATTGTTATTTGTAGTATCATTCTGATTATGAATACCATTAATATTATCGTTAGTGGTAGTCTTTGTGTGTTTGTGGTTATGACTTTATTGTTGAGTGCAGTTTGTGGATGGGGCACAGGCAGGGAAGTCAGGATGCATTGTCACATATGACATGTCTGTGCCGTTCGGTTCTCAAACTTCCACGAACTTTATCACTAAACCCTATATACCCTAAACCCAAAACCTATACCCAAGTCCGAAGACCTGGAATCCAATCTTCTGAGCTGAACAAATCACATGGAGGCTGTGTGAAGACTGCTTAGGACGTCCTGCCTTAGGGTTTAGGGGTTTAGGGTTTAGGGGTTTAGGGGTTTAGGGGTTTAGGGGCTTAGGGTTTAGGGGTTTAGGGCTTCGAGCACCTTTGTCATTTGCTGACAAGTAGCTTTGACAGAGACTTCTGGGCTCTGACTGTTGATTGATGCCCTTCCTGAACCCTAAAGAACCTACCTGTTTAGGGCTCCTTATTCTGATTTCTCTATATAAGTCCGCAAAGAGGTAGGTTATTTGTGGCTAAGGTTTAACTTGTATAGTTTTGACATGTCGTGACGAGCCACATGCAACTTGACATGATGCCACTTTGCTCTGACTCTGTACCCTGCATCGCGGGCTTTGTCCTTTTAGGTTGGAGGCAAAAAATCTAAACCCAAAACCCAAAACCCTAACCCAAAACCCTAAACCCTAAACTGGTGGATCTACAGGCAGCCTGAGCCTCCCTCCTCCAAGTTCCGCTCGGAACTCTTGGGCCCAACAGCTTTAGGGCTTCGTCCTTGAGCCTGGTACATATGGGGGCCTAAACCATTACCTATACTATTTGGGGGGGGGTTCCTTATTATAACCCGGCACCCGTAATTGCAAGATCTTAAAGCGTGACACCACCCAATGACAAAGCACGCTGCTGCCCGGCAGCGTGGTGCAGTCGTACCCATTAAGGCCCCGAGAGACTCCATGGAAACTGACTCCCAAGTGCAAAGCAAGCCTGAGATCCCTGGCAAACCCATTGTAGCGTGCTCTAGCTTCTTTCAAGGTATAATTATGCATTTGGGTAGTTCTCTAAATCAGAGTCCTTTTACAAGGGTGCCGTACTAATTTGGGGGCTACTTTAGAGAACCCCCCTAGGCCGCTCTAGGTTTCTGCATTCCACATTGCGCTTCACGGGCCAAGCCTCACCCAGGGCCTAAATCGTTGAAGGAGCCCTTAAAGGAACCCTCAAAGAAACCAATGTTTAAAGGAACCCTGAACCCTACCCTTAAGGGAGACCTTACGAGAACCCTTGAAGGACTTCCTGTATGGGTTTAGAGCGGCACTCTTAGGCAAGCTGGCGTGGGACCTGGCAGTGATGCTTGTCGTGCTTGTAGATGCATTTGTGCTCCCATACCAGCTGCCCCTTGGCGACATAAGCCTGGATTCGGGGTTTAGTTACCGGGTTTACAAGCCATAAGCCTTAATCAGTGCTTAGGGCCTAGGGTTTAGGGCTTCGGGTCTAGAGTTTGAGCTCAGGGTTCAGGCTGAGAGAAAGAGTTGTCGGGATTCCGAGTTTGGTCCCTGTCGACCTGAAAACTTTAGGATTTAGGGTTTGGGGTTTAGAAACAGTTGCAAGAAAGGTTTGAGAGTTAGAGACACTCTTCCTCAGAATCGTTATTTGTTACATGCTGCAGACATCTGGAGACGGTTTACAAGCAGGTGTCTTTACATGCCTTTTCCCAAACCAAGTGAGTACCGACCCAGAAGCAGCTCACGCATTCCATCAGAGTCGAACATGAGAATGGTTCGTGACTACAGGGGGAAGTCAGTCAGATTCGGGAATGCTACGATCCGTCATTAATTTCGGCAATGAATCCTACATTCCTGCATCCCAAACCCCAAACCGCAAAGCCTTAAACCGCGAAGCCCAGTAACCCCAAAGCACTGCAAGACCTCAACTCCAGGGCCCAAACAGGCTCATCATAGTATCGGAATGCCCCACCCCGAAAAGCAGTGCGAAAAGGAGCCTTCGAACAACAAGGCAAAACCACCCTAAAAGCTAAACCACTGAAGCGATAAAAACCCGGTAAGCCCTAAACCCCACGCCCTATAACCCTATACTCTAGAAGCCCTATACTCCACACCTACAACGCCCACAAAACCCTTTAAAGATCGGAACAGAGGTCCTTCAAGCGGGATCTTGAGCCGGATGCCTTTGATGAGTTTCTGGGCGGCACCGTGGGAAAGTGCTCATGTCCCCTTAAAGTATTTACATGTATCTGATTTAGGGCCTGTGGGTTCTAGAGAGGTATTTCTTTTACAATAGATTTTGGGTGCTCTTGTAGAATCATCCTGAAGGCCTGAACCCTAAAATCCTAAACGCAGGTTTTGGTTCTGGATCACCAGCTCATTTTTCACACTGGACATCATCGCCACCTTTGACACAGCCCTCGGAGGTCGCGCGAAGGGAACCCACGGAGCTTGGTTTATGTTTTTGTTTTTTCAATAAAAGTTTTTTGTCAATAAAAGGGTCCAAAATTATGTACAGTCGGTTCGGTATGATGTTTTTTTGGCTATAAAAGGGGTCTATAAATATGTGAACGGCTTAGGGTTTGGGGGTATCATGTACAGTTGGTAATAGTATCCCTGTGGGGATCCGTACTGCCAGAACATTAAAGGCCCCCAAATCCTGGGTACAATATGACAATTTTAGCCAAAGGATCCCGAACTACATACAAATATACAGGCACTCCTTCCGTGTAGCTTCTAAGATGAACGTTATAGTTGCACTCTGACTTCTTCTTTACTGTAGGTCCCTATTATGGGAGGAAACGCACCAGACGGACCTGTAGTCGGGACTGCATGCAAGCATTTGCGATCATCTCAAGATCGATGCTTTCGGATGGTCTGCAGCATGATACTGAGTCAACACGGCTGGCTGTCCCCCTGCATCTGTGGTATGGTGGCCGTTGTCTATGTGTGTCTGAAGCTTTGGGGCAAGCCCGCCTGCAGGCGACGAAGACGACCTCATAGTAGACCATCGAACCATTGCGCGGGCTTACCTGCGTGGCTGGTTCTTTTTTGCCGCTCGGCCCGCACACCGCGACACGTCGGCCCCGCCTTCAGGTGCAAAACCTTTTCTGTACAGACTAGCTGCAGAAACTCGTGCCATCGAATCTGGGAGAGGGATACAAGCGGAACCCTGTGTCAAGTCCCGGCAAGCTACAGTACTCGGGTGCGGACCCGTGTCGAGTTTGGAGACATGCGGCACGTCAGGATTTAGGGTATAGGGCCTTCGGGAATTCTGATCTGCAGCTGCTGTGATTCTAGGGCTGTCCATGTATGGTACCTCAGCTCCAACGTCTCCAAAACCCCACTTTGTCAGGACTGGGTCTCAACCATGCCTTGGAGTCGCATGGTTGACGCAATGGCCGCTGGGGCTAAAAGTTGCTCTCGGGCTCGGGACCTGACCTTGGGTCTGCGCATTATCCTATATCTGTCAGCCCTCAACACAAAAGCCTCAAGCGTAAGACCTGGAAGCCAAAGCCCCAGCCGCGACCTCAAGACCATGAACCCAAACGGAACTGCTTCAATTAGTCGAAAAGACCACCACCACCACCACCACCACCACCACCACCACCAACATCAGCAACAACAACAAAAACAACAGTAATAATAGTAATATTAATACTACTCATAAGACTAACGCAACAATGACAGCAATTCCTAGGACAATAATAACAGCAAAGCAACATGATCAACAACAATGCCAGACACAACGGTGATGACACCAACAAGGCGAATAACAGCGACATTCAGATCAGCATGACTCTGCCCCAACGGACCACTTGAACAACAAAAACAACAACCTTCCACCCCCGGCTCAGCCGCAGCCCTACCGACGGCAAGCTAAACTCAACGAGGCTTCAAAAACATCCCCAGTATAGTGGAACCCTAAACCCTAAACCCTAAACCCTAAACCCTAAAGAACCCTGTGAGAGTGCTGGTGGTCATGTTGGCACTGTTGTTAGCTTAGTTCGTAGCAGCCATGTAGCATAGAGTACGGAGCAGATGAAGCCTGATTGTAACCTTTCTGTAAACCTGCTCTCGTGATAAAATCAATCCTGCATCTCTGAGTGCTACAGTCTGCGCCCGACAGCCCGAAACTGGCAAAGCACTGTTAGGCAAACCCTGAACCCTACGCGCGAAACCACGCAAACCCTAGTGTTAGAAACCCTAAACCCCCTAAACCCTACTGCTCGAACCCCAAACCCTAAACCCTAAATCCTACTGTTAGGTGTCGGATACAGATGGTGGAGCGTTGTACCACGTGGCAAAGTTGGCGAAGTCTCCTGGCAGTGTTTTCTGGGGTTATTGGCTCTTGGTTTAGGACGATCTTTATGTTCATGATGTTTGGTTTCTGGTCAGGACCATGAGCTGAGTGGAAAGCTTGCAGAGTTTTGAGGAATTGAGGGTCGGCCACGTGCGCTGCTTTTGCTGGAGAATCGGAGGAAAGTAGGTTGAGGTGTGTAGTGCTGGCACTAGCACCTATGCATGTCCGTCGGAGTACAGCAACTCGGACTGACATTTGTCCAAGGATGTTGAAATTTCTACGCAGCTTGGCTTGCGTCAGACATGTGTGGATCACCTGCGCTGAGGGAAGCCTTTGCTTGGTTCGGGGTTCTCCTTCCTTCCTGAGACAGAAAGCTGGCGAATGTTGAGGAAATTGTTGTAACACACCATCACAAGGAAGCATTGATCCACAATTTCGGTTTCATGCAAACCCTAATTAAGTTCGTTCGAGAACCCAAAGAAAAGGAGTGCCAGGCAACCATTTGCTGCCGCACTGGAGGAAGTATTTGCGATGCGATCGGATGCGCTGTCGGCTGGGGTCTAGTCTGGTACATGTCCCAGAACAGCTTGTGCGAACATATAGCCACGAAGTAGCCGAATACCCGAGCCCAAGATACGGTTGCTCATGATGCCACAATTCCTCACTCATCGTTGTCTTAGGACTTCCCTCGCCGCTTTGTTCAGACGACATGCTCAGTCGGTTGCCGCCTTTGTTTTACAAGTTTCTATGTGGATTTCGATCCCTAGGCATCTCCAATCCCTTGTGCTGGCACAGCAGAGCCTCCGTTGGTGAAATCTTTCAAGACCCAGACCAAGCAGGATATCATGGCAGGTAGAAATGCGAGTCCCTTTGCGATCTAGGTCCCAATGGTTTTCTCCAGGGCAGGCGAAGACATGTTCGACATGTTCCACATACCCGGCCATCAGGTATTATTCGATTGATGAAGATGTTGCGGGCCAGAAAGATCAAGGACATTTGGGAAAGAGTGGAAACCAGACGCTCGTCTTCCATGCCTTCCTTTTTCGTTCTGGGGCTTAGACCGGGCTTAGAAGGGCTGATGTTTCAGGGCTTGTAGGGGTTTGGCCACTGGAACTCCACCAAGTACCCCAAGGCTCCATGTAAGGGGTCCCTATGGGGGTTTCCGAAAATAGGGGACCCTAATATAGTAGCCTAAATAGTAGGATCCTTATTAGGACCCCCAAATAAGGTACCCCTAAATTTCGGAAAGTCCCCTATATAGGTACTTTAAGGCCTAAGTATCTACTATATGGGTACATGGAGCCTTAGGGGTATACATGCAGTATGAGAGAGAGATTTATGTGGCTGCTTTGGAGGCCTTCGAGGATGATAACTTGCTCATCAACCAAGGAATCGGGTCCGTGACGGTGATCCAAGCCATGTATTTGGTTCGTGTGCTGCTGGTGATCGTCACCTGGCAGCCATGCACTCCTTCAATCGTAAATCCCTTTACTTCTTCAGTTTTTGCTTATAATATTACCAGGAATAGTGTAGTAGTAAAAGAGCAAGCTTAATATAATAACGAAAAGAACGTTCTGAATAATGCACGCAACAGGGTAGGTTTTCATGTCGCCCTGGACTTGGAGCTTGACTCCGGAAGCTTCAGCCCTCACAACCTGAGACTTAAGCTTAGGGTTTTGGGGTTTTGGGTTTATGGTTTAGGGTTTAGGGTTAGGGTTTAATTAGGGTTTAGGTTTAGGGTTCAGGGCTTTGGGCTTTGGGGTCCCACTGTCGACAGTGGACAAGGCCTCAAGGCCTCGATCTGATAAAACACACAAGATGCCTTTGCCTCACACGTCCGCATCTTTGCAAGCCTCACCTTTCTTCAGGTCTGGTAATGAAGGAACCTGATTAAGAAACCCTGGCCCTATAACCCCAAATATATTTGGGTTCATATTAAGAACCCTAATGAAGACCCGAGGTTTCTTAATCAGGTTCCTGTATTAGGTCATCTTCTTGTATTCTGGAAGCCCCGAGATGGCTTTGTGAGACTCGTGAGTTTCTGGGTACATGGCCAAGATCGCAAGGGCGTTTTGGGAGTCTGCACTGAGCCCAATCAGCTAACACGATGGGAGTGATCGCGCACTGTAGATATAGCTACTCTCAGTAGCACCACCTGCTCATACCTGCTGTCTAGTCATGGTGCAAGAAAAGAAGAAGATAGTGATACCAGCAAGGTTGCCATCTGTCACTGGAACGCCTGCAACTTGGCAGTGAGGCCCTTCAAAGGAGCCACGGATATCTGTTGCTTTGGCGAAAGCGCGCTGTCCTAGGCTCCATGACTGGTATTTCCACGGTCTGCCAGCTGCGTGCAATAGTTGTTCAACCTGTGGCATGCCCCCTAAACCCTAAAGGCTATATCTGCGGCCTCGTCCTTGCTAAGTAGGAGAGAACAAAATATCTGCTGGACGACCCCCGAGCATGTCAGTGGTGCTTGATCTGCGTGCGCGCGAGGTATCTTCTGGATTATAGGCACGACATCTTCCGCAGAGTTGGGCAGAGGGCAAGAAGCAGAAGGGATTGCGAATGGAGCGCCCAAAGCCTGGAAAGCTTGAACCGGACGTTGCATAGAGTGCTTCTTCTGGAACGCAAAGTTTGAGCAGGTTGGTTCAGGCCAGGCTTTAGGCACGACATGTGGGCTGTCGTGCTTATGTGGTTGTAGACATGGACGGCACGAACAATGCAGAATCGGATGCACAGGCAAGGGCGATAGCATTCCCACCGCCCCGAAGCCAAGCAACTCGATCATGCTTCGACATGAGTGGCATCTGCCCGCCTTCACATTTGTTTTGTGTCAGAGGATATAGGAAAGATAGCAGTTGTGCACATCGCAAGACATCCTCGGTGCTTGTCCTGTGTGTACGAACCTCTGCCGACAGCGACGACAAGCCCTTCATTGCAGGCCGTACAGATAGCATCATAACCGATTTCCTCCCGGATGAGACGCGGATTGCTTTCGAAGGTCTAGAGCACCTTTGCACTCACTTAATTTAGAGTTTGGGGATCTTCCAGCTGTCTGGAGTTCGGGTTGGCCCATCAAGGTTTTGGCTCGGAGGCGAGTGCATGGACTCGTCTTTTTTCCGGCTTCTTACTGGATGTTTGTTTCATCAAGGCGCGCGCGCGCGCGTGTGTGCGGTGGTTGGAATTCCGCCCAGCTGTAGTTCGTGCAATCGAGTTGGGGCAATACACTCTGTAGCCGATCGTCCTGAATTTCGTAGGTCCTTGTGGGGCGCCATCACTGCACCTTGCAGTAGCAGCTCCAAACTCCATGAATCTGGAAATAAGGCCGTGGCTAAAACCTATAAACCCTAAACGACCATCATCCCCCCTCCGCTCCAAAGCTTGAAGGCCGAGCTGCCGCAACAACCTTGAAGCCTTGAGCCGCACAAGTCACCAGATGTCAGTTTCTGCAAGGCATTGGACTATGGTGTGGCACAAATATGGCGTCGACGGGGACTGCAGGGTTCTGAGGGAGCTCCAGCTAGGGTTTTTTTTTGGCTAATATCCTAAGCGCACTGCTGCTGAAACTACGCAGCACTCTGATCTCGATGCCTTTGGCGGCCTCGGAGGGCATCTAAACTCTCTCTCGCAAGTCTCCTTTGAGCCATGAGCTGATTTTTAAGCTTGAAAACGCAAGGCGATTGCACGGCTTTGGTTTGCGTATCTACTTTTCGGATACAATTAGTCTTGGGACAGTATTATTTCATGGCAATCGCTTGTCCGGTTGCCCGGTCTTCTGCCTGGATGGAGCCGTAAGGGCCCTGAACCCCTTGTAGAATTAACTTAAGCCCCCAAATCAGAAGCCTCAGGATTAAGATGTGCACATCAAATCACATGAACCGACACCCTGAGCCCATGAAGACGCCTCGGGACCTGTCAAGTGTTGGTTCGCCGGATTCATAAACTGTTGGATGTTGTAGTGCCCTTTTACTGTTGCAAAGACTTCGTTCATGTTGAGCAAGAGACAGGGATGATGTGCGCTGTAGCGTAAGGTGCCAGGACCCTTGCCGGATGGCTGGTCGGATCGGCAACCGTTTCAGTAGCAGGTATGATTCCTACCCACCCACCTACCCTCTTAGTCACCTTATGTATCTGCTTCCCTTTCTAAATAATTATCTATCTGTGGCTATCTATCTATCTATCTATCTATCTATCTATCTATTTTTTCTATCTATCTATTTGTCCATCTGCCTATCTGTCTATCGATCCATCTATCTATCTGTCTGTCTGTCTATCTGTCTATCAATCTATCTGTCTATCTGTCTATCTGTCTATCTATTTATTTCTCTACGCATCCATCTGTCTACATGTCTTTTTGCATGTCTATCTGTCTGTGTATCTATCTGAGTCTATCTGTCTACCCATCCATCCATCCATCCATCCATCCATCCATCCATCCACCCACCCACCCACCCACC